TGCATGTTTCCACCAACATCTTCTTTGCTTCGGTCAAACAAGAAGAAAAGGAAACCTCCCCCATTTTTTTCTGCAAAAGACTATAACAACCTCCTAATAAAAATCATGAATCCATTAAGAGAATGAAAATACATTTTTAAGCTTTCTTCTCTATATTTGGCTTCTTGTTGCTGTTCCTTTTCGCTTTCTTTTGCTGCCTGTCTTTTTTTTGTCGATTTCCTTCCTCTTGTGCTTCTCAATTTCTGCAACGTTTTCTTGTCACTCTACCCTTCCTTTTCTTTCGTCCTCCGTGTGCTTCAATTTCTGCAAAGTCTCTCTTCTTCTTTCTGTGTCTTCTGTCCTCTTTGCTTTGGTTCGATGCCTTTTTATAGGCGAACAGTGGACATGGTAGTTGAAGTTAGTGGGATGCAACTTTCCTGGGGTGTGGAGATGCTGAGAGAAAACCATCTCTTGAGTGGAGAACGTGGGAGTTTTAGAGGGTTCTAGATACACACGTTCTCTATACTTGGTTGCCATGTAGATGACGAACTCCTTCATACTTGGTGTACGCTGTGGTCCACGTGTGCGGGTGTAGAGTTGTTTTTCCCTCTCTTTATTTCTTATATATAAAATATAGTATATATAAGAATATATGCACATACACACATAAAGTGAGCCTTATTTCTTGTCAGTCCATATTTTGGACTCTATTATTATTACTATTATTATTTTGAAGTCTCCCCATTTTTATTAAGACTTGCTAATATATTTTGTTTGTGAAAATATATAGCTCAACAACGTCGTCAGCCATGGCGGCGTTGTTGGTGGCGCATAACCCATTGTGGGTGACGGAGGAGGCACCGAGGATGACACTGCAGTCGAAATCGGCCCTCGATCTGAGCAGAAAAGTCATAAAAAAAAAGTTTGTCTTCCCCACTCCCTTCTCCCCACCCGAGCCCGCCAGAGCCATTCATTTCTCCCCACCCCTTTTGTGAGCTTTGGGAGGTTTGATGAGATTTTGGGTTTTGAGATTTGTAATGGGATTCTAGGTTTTAGGGATGTAGGTTGCCCAGAAAGAGAGGAGAGAGAGAGAGAGAGAGAGAGAGAGAGAGAGAGAGAGAGAGAGAGAGATAGGGAAAGAGAGAGGGTGGTGGAGGAAGGTTGGGGGGGGGATGACGGGGAAGGGTTTTTGGGTTTTGAGATTTTGGGGATGCAGGTGCCCAGAGAGAGAGGGTGGATCCCACTATTTTATATATTTTTTTCATTTTTTATTTTTGAATATTTAATTATTAAAATATATGTAATTATTTTTTAATCTAGTTAGATTAGTGAATAGGTCCCGTCTCTAGCTACGTCAGCACTTAACAGAAAAATTAACAGAAAAATTGACGAAGGTTTGACATTGGAACAAATTCGTAAGATGAGGTATGACATTGTCATTTTTAAAAGATGAGGTATGATAGTGTCGTTCGACCCATAATTGAGGTAGTTTTGTGTAATTTACCCTAAAATCTATTACAAGGTCCAAAAAGAACCAGATAAAGTAAATGGTCCAAGCAAAATGAGAGCTGCAACCAAAGATACAAAAGGAGGCCCACACAAACTTAGACCTGATGGTTGCAAAAACAAACAACAAAAAACCTTAATCTCCAGCAGCGTAAACCACACCACTGATGCCGTCACATCCTCGGAGGAAGCCAAACTCCAACCAAGAGAGTAGACACCAGAACCAAATACCCTTCACGAACCCTTACAAATATATACGAACAAGGTATCTTATGGGTAGAGAGTGAGGCTAAGGGGTATGTAAAATATCCAACACTTGGCCTCGATTGGGATCTGGCATGCCGGTTGGGGGAGGGGAAGTTAGGGAAGAACGAGAATGAAAATGAAGGAACGAGACTAGAAAGGGGGAAGGAAGATGAGGTGGATGTAGGGAGAGGGAAGGGGCTCAGGAGATGAGAGGGGAGGAAAAGAAGGAAAGGGTAAAGAAGAGAGGAGGGAAGGAGGAGGAAAAAAAAGGAGTAGTGGGCTATCGCCTGCCTCGAGCAAGAGATGGCGACTGAAGCTTGAAACTGGTGGGATGATTCTGAATCTGGTATTGGAGTTCCCAAAGAGAAATAGGAGAAAAGTGCCAAACTACTTATTCAATCCAAATTAATTAGGATAGTATGCCCTCTTCCATACTCAAAAGTTAGACTTACAAAATATTGGAAAAGTATCAGAAACTGTATCCACATCCAATACAATATCAATGAGCATGGCGCTATATAGCTGACAAGTAATTTGATCAAAAAGTAGTTTTCTTGAATATGGAAGCTTACCTTTAGTTTCTTGAATATGAGTTGATGTTGTGTAGATGGACTTCAGAAATTCTAAGTAATATTCTTACTAACCATAAAAATCTAAATGTGATATTAATAATCCGAACCATTCATCTTTCGGCATCCCTTAAAAGTTCATGTTTTCAAAAAACAAAATTTGAAAAATAAAATTTGGTGAGAAGAATGGAGCGCAAACGTAAACAACATTAAATTTAAATCTATGGTTTATAGGACTATGGTGGCGAATTTCAGAGTTGACCTCTTCACAAAAGTTGTAGACCTTGTTTTTACGAGCATTTGAATATTTTCTTTTAATTTTTCACACTTCTCCATTAATTAACAAACTATCAAAAAAAAAAAAAAAAACCTTACTACAACAATAACATAGGAATAATCTCACTTATGTAATATTTTTTAATTAGACTATTATTTTGGAATATATAATACTTGAAAGACAAATATGTTTTTATGTTTAAAGTAAAATTTATGTGACAATGTAGTATGCAAATACTAATTTAGTATTACATTTTCATTTGATTATTTATCGATGTAAAATATATTTTTTTTAACGAGTATAATGGATAAGCCAAATGGTGGCATAGAAGGTACTTTTGAATTTTCACTATTCTCTACATTTTCACTCCTTCTCCTCTAGAGCCAGTTCCCACATCTCCTTCCTCCGGAATTTCGGACGAAAAAAAAATATCATCGTTTAGCGTTGGTCGATAAGCGTTTGCCTTTGGTCTTTAATGACGAAAGGTCAGTCTTCCATTATTGAGTTTTTTTTTTTTTTTTATGATATTTCAGTGATTAGATTGGATTTGATGCATGTTTATGTTTAGGTATCAAATATGTTTTATAAGTAAAAATTTATTTGTCGTTGTTGAAAATTTATGCTTTTTTTGCTCAAATTATCTGAATCTTGGTATATTTTTGTGGTAGAATTCGATAGTAAATGTTATAATGGAAAAACCATATCATGGCGTAAAATATACTTTGAATTTGAAACCTACAGAAAATATGGAGTTTGAAATTAAACAAACAACATGTGATTTCTAGAACAAGTATGGTTGAATTATGAGGTTTAGTATTCGAAGAGAAAATAGCAGCAATAATAAAAAGATTGGTGAATTCACTTCAAGAATCTTTTCTTGTGCTAAAGAAGGGTTTCAATCCGTAGATAAGCGAAATGATACGATTAAAAGAACAAGAGGAGAGATGAGGATTGGATGTGGTGCTCATATAAGTGTTGGGTTGAATAGGTGTAGTGGGAATTTTATGAACAACATAATCATCCCTTAATAAAGAAAGAATATACTCGTATGTTACCATCCCAATGGAAAATGAAAACCTCACAAGATTTATTAAGCAAACAAACAGGTGGAAGAGTCTTTAGGATATATTAAGCAAGACCAAAAGATTATCCTCAAACTGTGAATGATGATGCGCTTGAGAAAGGAGGTGTGTTGTTTGCCCTCTCATTTCCATACTCTTCTCATTCCCTTCTGTTTTGTATGATCACAGTTAAGCCACGTCAACATTTTATATTCTTATTACTTTTTGTTTTATTATTTTTATAAAAATAATCAATATAAAATATTAACGTGACTTAACCGTGATCACACAAACAAAAATGAATGAGAAAAGTATAGAAATAGAAGGGTAGACAATCCACCTCCCTCCTTGAAAAAAGGGTTACCAATTGCAATAGCCAGATGACAGTTGCTTGGAGAATGGTGATGTTGTCATTCCAAAAGGGCTGAGAAGCCGCCACGTCAACACGTGAACCAGCCTCACTGTCAAATGTCAAATTCCCATTCGCAGTAGAAGAGACGTGCAGCCCAAGTTGATTTTTGTTTTTTTCCCACAATAGGTGATGTGACACAACAGGAAGAACAACCAGAAGGCGCACGAGCCAAATACCCTTTTTTCTTCTGTACCTGTGTACATTTGCGTATTTTTGGGCCTAAGATCAAATTAACCGATATCGATCGTCAATTTAAAATTATTGAGAACTTGTATGGAAGCGTACGAGTGAAAAATATTTTCAAAATCAATATTTGCTCAAAATGCAAAAAGATTTTCAAAAATTACTTGAAGCGTTTGCTGCAAAAAATACATAATTGTTACTTCTTATAGAAAACAATTCAAGTGTTTTTAGAACAAAAAAAAAACATTTTCTAAAAACATTTCAATAATTTTAAAGCTACTACCAAACGAGCCATAATCAAATTTAATGCCTTTGTACAACTGCAAATGGTGTTCTAGGTACTAAAGAAGAATTGGAAAGCTGAAGTCAAGAAAGCAATTTTTTAATACAATACGATATTAGCTACACTAACGAGTAAGAAAGTCAGCTAAACCTTACAATAGACTAGTCATAATAATTTGATTTAAATTTAAGATATCTTATTTACGAGTAAATAAAAAAAATTACTAGAACGTAGAATTAAGTGAGAAGTTATTAGATTGTTTTAAATGAATCGTATATACCATATGATGCATAAAATAATAAAATACGTTAACCTAATTCGCATGACATTATTTTATTGAATCAAACGCTGTCATTTTACTTCTCCAAAAACAGCCCAAAGGCTGTGGTTTGTGTGTGGAGGAAGCAGGGGTATAAATGGTAATTCGAGGCGCAAAACGTGTAATATGATAGGAAAGGGAACACTCCCACTCACGCACACACAAACACACTCTTTTGGTCGTCGTCGTCGTAATTTATGTTGATCTTCCTTGACAAGGCGCGAACCCATTCTGCCAAAACCCAGCCGCTGAGCCTCCGAGCCGCCGCCGGTTTCTCAGCCGCTGAAACCCCTTTTATTTGGTTGCCCTTTTGCTTTTGCATCTAAAACAAAACCGACTTCAAGTCAGAACAGCCGCTCCCAATGGAGCCGCCGCCGTTACATATAAAAACACCTCGGAATTCCAAGTACTTACTCTCACTCAATTTTCAAAAGAACAAAACTCTCTCTCTCTCTCTCTCTATTTTCTCTAATTTTCTCTCGCTCCAAACAGGAAGAAGCGTTTGTCTTCCGATAGCGGTTCTGGGTGCATGGATTCCGAGGACGTCGTAGAGATTTCGCCTCCGGCTACTCCGATTACCCGGGCCCCGAAATTTCAGAAGCTCAAACTCAAAGAGGTACGATTTCTCTGTCGTTTGATCAATCGATAACTCAATCTTCGATGGTTCTTGTGATTTACCTGGTTCGATCATGCACTTGTGATGAGATTAGTATTTTTGGGAGCTGGTAATCTGCTTTGATTGATCAAGTTACCGTCTTGATCACTGATCACAATTCAATTTTGGATTTTTTGGTCCATTTGATTTCGGGCTAATACGAGTTGATTGGAACATTGGTATAAAATCTTGGCACTTAATTGCCCAATTTTTCAAATTTTTAGTTAATTTTGTTCTAGGGATTTTTAGCAATTTGTTTGGTTATGGTATTCATTTGTTCCTAATTTCCTGAAAGATTGAAGTTTTTTGGGGTATTGCTAAAGCATTGTCACAAGCTCATTCACTGCACCCGTTGTTGTTTACAATTTTGAACAATTTATTGGCAGTCCTGTGTATAATGAGGACATTGAGCTTCCGTTCCGCGTTATCAGTTTGCCTTTTGTTCAATTTCCTTCCCATGATCGCATGCATGGCGCCGGGTTTACTGTAACCATCATCTATGTTTTTCTGGGCCCGATGAAGGTGTGCCTTTGCAGGCATTGCCTTTTTCCGTTTTATTCGATGACTTTTACTGGTTATAATCGTATAAATATAGATTTATAAGAATTGAATACATCTGTTGCTATATAGTGTTCAAGCTTGGTGATGGTTACAGAATTAAAATCAAGCATTTCAGTTTTCAATTGAATGTGGTTCTCATACTTTGTGAAGAGGTTTTCATGTCCTACTTTTGTGCTTATAACCCCTATTCCATCCAAAGTTTTTGTTCCTCATTTGTATTTTGCAACTAATTGGTAACATTTTTGTAGGATGCCTTTGTTTGTTTGTTTGTTTGTTTGTTTTTTTTTTTTTTTTTTTGAATTGTTGTTTTCTGGCATTGGTTGGAATTCAGTCAGTCTGAACAGGTATGTGTTGTGGTTAATCCTTTTTAGGTTCTTCAGTATGATGTGATTGAAATTGACGAAGATGAAGATCCAGTCGCTGCAATGATTATCGATGATAGAGTTGATAGAAGTGGCAAAGGGAAGGCAATAAGAAGCTCTTCAGATGGCTACCATGATCATCAAGATAAGGTGTATTATTGACTTGAATGACACTCTATGGCTGTTGTCATTTTGTTGAATGATAAATATTCAATTGTAGCTTTAGCATTCTTAACATATTTGCATTATGATATTACTAGTATTTTCAGGAAGCTGAGGTCAATAGCTATTTTGGCCCTCCTGGTATGACAACCCCTGGGTCAGCGAATGGGATTGAAGCTGCTAAGAGTTTTGTCCCAGCTAACGTGATCAACTTAGATGGTCATACTTCTGATTTATCATATGAAGATGACGACTTTGCTGATTTTTTCTTGATGAGTTTATGGACGTCGATGAGTATGCCCAATTGCAAGCCCATTTTGATAATGTGGATATCCCCCCTGGAATAGAGGCACCTATTCCTTGGTTGTCTGATCCTTCTAAAAGTAAAGTTAAATCAATTTCTGGAATTATTTCTGTCGATAAGACATTTCAAATGCAACCAGAGCCTGATCATTTCAGCAAGAAGCCACTTTTTAGGGGTAGTTCAAGCTTGAAGACCCAAATTGATAGTACTGCCCACCCACCTGAAGTGAATCTATCATCAGCATGGAAACTTCCAAAAACTGCCAGGGGTAAAAAGAAACAACCTGCTTTGCAACATCAAGGGAGTGCTCCTAATTTCCCAGTTGGTAAAGAGTCATCAAAGTCTCAATGGCTTTTAGGACTCCAGCCCAAAAAGAAGCTAGCTTCTTCAAATGGTTCAACGAATCACTTTGATGCAATGAAGCTTGGTTCCGAAGCTGACACATCTTCTGCATCGTATTTTCATAACATTCTAAAGAAAAAGGGTTCAAGTGCTTCTTTTAAACCCATGCCCGTTCCTGGGTGGCCTGGGCCCATTTCCAAATTTAATACCATGCCATTTAATTCAAGCTTCTACGATCCATTGGGTTCAGCATATCCTCCTGGGGAAGTAGCAGGTAGTCCTTGGATTCCTAATGCGCAAATTCAGAATAATCTTGTTCCAGGAGGCATTTCAACAAGCCCTGGGAGGAAAATTTCTGCCATGGAAATGGATGAAATTATACTTAAGTTTCAGGGTTTCAAACAATTTGATACAGTTGAAGATCATTCAGACCATCACTATATTAAGCGTGGTTATTCAACAAAGCAGGTAAATTTTGGATGATTTAGTTAATGCAATTATTTTGTTTTCTTTTGTAATTCCCTATCTTATTATGTTTTATTTTTACTCGTTCTGAAGCCACCAAAGAATTGGGCAAAGAGAATTCAGGAAGAGTGGAAGATCCTGGAGAAGGATTTGCCTGGTGAGTTGTTCTGTTTTTTTATTTGGAATTTTCTTTTAAATAACTGTTTTGAATTAATGGTAGTGAAGTTTTCCCATTCTTAGCCTATTCATTTTTATCAAATTTTTGCACCGGTTGTTTCATGATGCTGACTGCTGTAATTAATTGATTTTGCACTGAAAGTTGGAATTGAGAATATATGGGATATAGTTTTTGGATGGTTGTTTGTACTATAGAAACTTAGGTGCACTTACCCCTTTTTTTAATGACATCCACAGATACAATATTTGTTAGAGCTTATGAGACAAGAATGGATCTTTTGAGAGCTGTAATTATTGGGGCGGAGGGTACTCCTTACCATGATGGTCTCTTCTTCTTTGATGTTTGCTTCCCCAGTGGCTATCCCAATGTACCACCGGTGTGTGATAATTCGAACGCTTAGAATTGATTTATATCTGTTTGCATCTTTGGCCTAACTGGGAACTTGGTTATGCAGAATGTTTACTACCACTCTGGTGGCCTTCGATTAAATCCAAATTTGTACAATTGTGGAAAAGTATGCCTCAGCCTTCTTAATACCTGGTCTGGGAACAAGAATGAGAAGTGGCTCCCGGGTGTGTCAACCATGCTACAAGTTTTGGTCTCTATACAAGGGCTTATCTTGAACACAAAACCCTACTTTAATGAGCCTGGATGTGCAAGTATGAATGGTTCAGAAGCTGGTGAAAAGATGTCCGAGGAGTACAATGAGAATACATTCATCCTTTCGTTAAAGACAATGGTGTACACCATGAGGAAACCTCCAAAGGTAAATTTTTTTTTCTTTCTCCATTCTCCTGATACTCTGGACTATGTTCAGTCCTTTTGCAGTGTGAGATTGGTGTGAAGCATTTTAGATTATCTGCTTGGCATTTTGGTTATAGTTTTTGAATAATGATTCATGTGCATCAATACCTGAAACGGAGTAGAATGTTTTTGAAACGTTCAGAATAATCAGACTGAACATATCAATGAATGCTAAGTTCCCTGAAATGTTAAACAAAAATAATCTTGAATTTCTGAAAATGCAAAATTTTCCTTTCTTTTCTAAAACTGTTTCCTCACTGAAGTTTTTTTATTTCATTTCAAACTCATCATGTCGCTCCTTCTGGAATTTGCAGTGTATTAGGAACCTAGGATGATAGGATTGAACTAGGTGTTTAGGGGGAAGTCAGAGTTTCAGAAGTGACTATCTGTAATTTCTTGTTTGGCATCAAGGAAATTTTGAAATTCAAAATGTAAACAGATCTGGAATTAGGGTCATTAACACTGGCTTTAAATTTCCAGATAAATAGTTGTTATTTACTAAATTCCAAGACAGTTAGTGTTTAACAAAATTTCAACAGCAACCCCAACCACCACCACATCTCCACTGTTACCACCCAACCTCTACTGTTGCCGCCACAATTACTAAAACTACTCACTTCTCCACTTTTCTGCTGACGTTGCCACAACCCTCAACCCTGCCCCCACCGATTATCATCACCTCGTTCCCATCACCCTTGATGTCAGTTCCTCCATAACCGCTGCTGCTACCACCCACTGTCACTGCCACCAGCCACATGGCCACCGACACATATCTTTTACATTCCATCATGCTTGATGTCACTTCCTCCATAACAAGAAACTTAACTATTTCTGAGAATAAGCCCATCTTTTAAATATTGTCACTCACTTATCCAAATGCAGCATTGCAGTTTTTGTATTGAGCATATAGAAAGAAAGTGTCAGAGGCATCATTTTTGAGTAATTGGTAGGGAAATGATAAGCACACACCCATTAGCATCTCACATACCCCTATTTAAGCCTCTCACATACCCCTATTTAATTCTATCCATTGTTTCAGTTTGATTTATTCAATTCCGATGGCCAGAAATATAGAGGGTGTGTGAGAGAAGCTAAAAGGGTTGTGTGAAAATCACTTCCATTAGAATGATTTTCTATGCTAATGAATGATAAGAGTGAAAACTTCAAAGATCCTGTTTGCCAATTCATTATACAATCAGTTTATTGTAATTTCTGTCCAGAAATTAGAGAATTGCTTTTTTACAAACTAAGCAGTTGATGTTGTCGACTACACAAGCAAATAGCACCTATGAGCGGAAAATATTTGGTGTTATTGACAATTTTTTTTTCTAATCATTTTGTCATATTGCCCAGTTAGCAGCCAAAACTGCTGCTTTAGGCAAAATTGGCACACTTCCAGTTATCCTTTACTGTTGTTTTAATTTTAGTTTTCTGTATTTTTGCTTCTGCTAAACTATCTATATTCCGCTGCCCTACTCTGTCCTACGTCATGCAACATTTAAGGTCTCAGTTATAACTTATATCTGGATGCAGCATTTTGAGGATCTTGTCCTGGGCCATTTCTACAATCGTGCTCGTGACATTCTGGTGGCATGCAAAGCATATATGGATGGTGCTCAAGTGGGGTGTCTGGTCAAAGGTGGTGTTCAAGATGTTGATGAGGGTGACAAGAGCTGCTCACAGCGGTTCAAGGGTTCTGTTGCCGACCATCTGCCTATGCTCGTCGCGGAGTTCACAAGAATCGGGGTCAAGGATTGTGAGAGATTCATATCACCAGCAACATCTGAGAACAACCAAACTGCGAGTATGCCTCAGGCTGCAACATCAATGATTTCATGTTGAAAAAGTGATTTTTCAAGACCTCGACTCTTATGTCAAACATCTAAGAGGTGAGATTTTTTTGGTCAAAAAGTTTTAAACTTAATTATTAGAGCGTCTTTCATGGAATCTATCCGGTCGGCGTAAATATGTTTTGGGATAATGTATATAGCATGGATGGGATTGCTCTGAACTGAAACTTCCATTCTGCAATTGTCGGCCCGGAATATAGTTTTACTGAAATGGTCAAGCTGAAAATCCGGCCTGAATTTTCATCAAACTTTTCGGTAACTAATTGTAGAGGAGTAGAAATTCCAGATCTTTAGAATCTTATTATGAAATGAACCTATTTTTCGGTTTCTCTCCTCTCGTCTCTCTCGTCATTTGGCCTGCATGTCATTTGAATAGGGAAGGAAAAGAAGAAGAGAATATGATAGGTCGCTTAAGTTGCTGTGTATTCCGTAGTAAAGTGAGCCGGTACTGGCTCGACACTCCAAAATGGTCATCCCGCTCTTGAAGAAGAAAAAAAAAGAAAAGCGAGTGGAGTGTACGATGACTGACTGTTTTGGTGCCTCAATTCCAATATTTATCTATGTTGTCCCTAAAATTGACATCTCTCCTTACTTTGGTCCCTTTAAATGTACAGGGATGGCATTGCGGGTTTGATTATTATTATAATAATTAAATTGAATGGTAGTCAAAATTGCATGAACTATAGGGGTATTAAGCTAATGAGTCATACAATGAAGCTCTGGGAGAGAGTCATTGAGCATAGATTGAGGCAAGAGACACGGGTTTCGGACAACCAATTCGGGTTCATGCCAGGGCGCTCAACCATGGAGGCAATCTATCTCTTACGAAGATTGATGGAAAGATATAGAGATGGGAAAAAGGATTTACACATGATCTTTATAGATTTGGAAAAAACGTATGATAGGGTCCCAAGAGACATTCTTTGGAGGATTTTAGAGAAGAAAGGAGTACGAGTAGCATATATCCAAGCTATAAAGGATATGTATGAAGGAGCAAAGACCGCCGTAAGAACTCATGAAGGACAAACCGAAAGCTTTCCCATAACTGTAGGATTACATTAAGGCTCATCCTTAAGTCCTTACCTTTTTGCGTTGGTAATGGATGAGTTAACAGGACATATTCAAGATGATATTCCTTGGTGTATGCTTTTCGCAGACGATATAGTGTTGATAGATGAAACTCAGGAAGGGGTAAATGCAAAGCTTAACCTTTGGAGAGAAGTGTTGGAATCTAAAGGTCTTCGCCTCAGCCGATCAAAGACAGAATATATGGAGTGCAAGTTCAGTGCAAATGGAGGCCAAAACGAGTTAGGGGTGAGGATCGGAGATCAAGAAATACCAAAGAGCGACCGTTTTCGTTACCTAGGATCTATCTTGCAAAAGAACGGAGAATTAGATGGAGATCTCAACCATAGAATACAAGCTGGATGGATGAAGTGGAAGAGTGCATCCGGCGTGTTGTGTGACCGCCGTATGCCACTGAAGCTCAAGGGAAAATTTTATAGGACGGCAATAAGGCCGGCAATGCTGTATGGCACAGAATGTTGGGCGGTGAAACATCAACACGTACACAAAATGGGTGTAGCGGAGATGAGGATGCTTCGTTGGATGTGTGGGCACACGAGAAAGGATAAGATTAGGAATGAGGATATCCGGGGTAAAGTAGGAGTAGCCGAAATTGAAGGAAAGATGAGAGAAAATCGGTTACGGTGGTTTGGACATGTGCAAAGAAGGCCTACTGACGCTCCGATTAGAAGATGCGACTATGGGACAGAGGTTCAGGGCCGAAGGGGTAGAGGAAGACCTAGGAAAACTTTGGAAGAGACTCTAAGAAAAGACTTAGAGTACTTGGATCTAACGAAGGACATGACACAGGATCGAGCACAATGGCGTTCTAAGATTCATATAGCCGATCCCACTCAGTGACTTGGATTTTCCAAGTCTCCAACCAAGAAGTTTTCCTCACTCGGGAAATTAAGGGAACACTACCCCAACCTACATGCTCCACTCAGAAAGCTTCAACATACAAGCTTCAACAAAAGAAAATTCAAAGAACTTAGCGAAGAAGGCTTTGGTGTATTTAACACAATACGTTGAAATGAAGGAAAGCTTATTTATTGATATCCCCGATAAGCTACAAATATGTACATATACATGAGTCAAAATAAACACACAAGAGGGAGCCTTCACAAAGGTTGCTTAGGAGAAGTCTCAGCAGTCGGTAGAGCCCCAGAAAGAGAAGGCACCGGAGGGGGATCATTTGGAGCCTCAGTACTGGACAGAACCCTAGAAGGAGGAGGCATCAGAGGTTGATCATTTGGAGCTTCATTACGCGGTACAGCCCCAGAAGACGAAGGCAATAAATGCCTTTGGAACAAACCCACAAATCTCTGATGATCAAGTAAAACCTGACCATCAGTTTCCTTCATCTGGTCAAGCTTCCTTTTCATGTTTGTAGCATAGTCATGTGTGAGCCGGTGCAACTGTTTATTCTCATGCTTGAGCCCTCTAATCTCCTGTTTGAGACTCATCACTTCAGCCGCCAATGATTCAACTTGGCGGGTTCGAGCAAATAGGCGTTGTGCCATATTAGACACAGAACCTGCACACTGAACACTGAGAGCCAGCGAATCCTTAACAGCTAACTCATCAGACCGTTTGGAAAGTAGTCTGTTATCTTTGGGAGTGAGAAGGTTCCTGGCCACCACCGCAGCGGTCATATCATTCTTCATCACGGAATCCCCAACGGTAAGAGGACCAGTTGGGGAGACGAAGGATGGGCGCCATATGTTATCTGGAGAGAAGGCGGGGCTGCCTCTTCAACAAGGTTCAAGTCAAAACGACGGTCGGAGGGGCCAGACATTTTCAAAGGTGTTGAAGAGAGAAGAGGTCGGACAAATCAAGATCTTAGAAGTGCAAGAATGAAGCTTCTACTGGTGGAGATTCAAGTGTGCTTTGGAACTTAATGCCAGCCCCTATAAAAATCTGCACTCGACGGAGCTTCAGAAATCAAAAGAGGCGCCTGCTCAGAAATCGAAGAGGCGTTTGCTTTCTCAAAAGCTGGGCTGCTTAGAGATCACGAGGGTTGATCTCAGAAATCGAAGAGCCGTTTGCTTTCTCAAAAGTTGGGTTGCTCAAAAGACCACGAAGGCCGATCTCAGAAATCGAAGAGGCGCTCGCTTTCTCAAAAGCTGGGCTCCCTAGAGACCACGAGGGCCGATCTCAGAAATCGAAGAGGCACCTACTTTTCCAGCCTTGTCAGCACCTGTCACACGCACACTCAGCTTTGCGGAAATTATGGGCATTCTGTCAAAGACTTCTGGGGAAGTAGAAAACACATGAATCTTACTGTTCAATCACCCACTTCCCACACGCAACAATAGCTCATGGGTACCACAGATAACTTTGCCAAAGTTCTCTGCCAAAGTTGAGCACGTGAAGCTTGCAGCTCCCACTACATCGCTCTGACCAAGAAGGGTAAAAGAATAGCAAAGAAACAGCACTAACAAAGTTTAGACCCATAAATTTTGAAGGTCTAGCTACCATATTATTACCCACAAGGGTAAAGGAACAGTACCACTGCTGGATAATTGGAAAGTCCATGTATGTCAACCTCTGTGCTTCGTGGCAAGGTAGACTAGCAAACATGCCCAACCTTTACTCACATTCGAGAAAACACTCCCAATAAGATTGCTTGCTCCAAAATCGAAGAGGCACCGTCCTCCGAATCTAAAGAGCCAGACTCCCAACATGACTACTTTCTTAAAAATCGAAGAGAGGGTAAAGGAACAGTACCATTGCTGGATAATTGGAAAGTCCCTGTGTGTCAACCTCTGTGCTTCGTGGCAAGGTAGACTAGCAAACATGCCCAACCTTTACTCACATTCGAGAAAAACACTCCCAACAAGATTGCTTGCTCCAAAATCGAAGAGGCACCGCCCTCCGAATCTCGAGAGCCACTCTCCCAACATGATTACTTTCTCAAAAATCGAAGAGACACTGCTCCCCGAATCTCGAGAGCCAGACCCCCAGCATGATTGCTTTCTCAAAAATCGGTGAGGCACCGTTCTCCGAATCAATCGAAGAGGCGCTCGCTTTCTCAAAAGCTGGGCTGCTCAGAGACCACGAGGGCCGATCTCAGAAATCAAAGAGGCACCTACTTTTCTAGCCTTGTCAGCACCTGTCACACGCACACTCAGCTTTTGCAGAAATTATGGGCATTCTGTCGAAGACTTCTGGTGAAGTAGAAAGCACATGAATCTTACTGTTCAATCACCCACTTCCCACACGCAACAATAACTCATGGGTACCACAGATCACTTTGCCAAAGTTCTCTGCCAAAGTTGAGCACGTGAAGCTTGCAGCTCCCACTACATCGCTCTGACCAAGAAAGGTAAAAGAATAGCAAAGAAACAGCACTAACAAAGTTTAGACACATAAATTTTGAAGGTCTAGCTACCATATTATTACCCACAAGGGTAAAGGAACAGTACCACTGCTGGATAATTGGAAAGTCCCTGTGTGTCAACCTCTGTGCTTCGTGGCAAGGTAGACTAGCAAACATGCCCAACCTTTACTCACATTCGAGAAAACAGTCCCAACAAGATTGCTTGCTCCAAAATCGAAGAGGCACCGTCCTCCGAATCTCGAGAGCCAGACTCCCAACATGACTACTTTCTCAAAATCGAAGAGAGGGTAAAGGAACAGTACCATTGCTGGATAATTGGAAAGTCCCTATGTGTCAACCTTTGTGCTTCGTGGCAAGGTAGACTAGCAAACATGTCCAACCTTTACTCACATTCGAGACAACACTCCCAACAAGATTGCTTGCTCCAAAATCGAAGAGGCACCGCCCTCCGAATCTCGAGAGCCAGACTCCCAACATGATTACTTCCTCAAAAATCGAAAGAGACACTGCTCTCCGAATCTCGAGAGTCAGACCCCCAACATGATTGCTTTCTCAAAAATTGAAGAGGCATCGTTCTCCGAATCTCGAGAGCCAGATACCACAGACCACTTTTTCAAAGTGCTCTGACAGAGTTAAAACATGTGAAACTGGCAGCTCCCACTACCGTGCTATGACCAAGCAGGGTAAAGGAATAGCATTACTACTTGTTGTTAGGGAGACTCCTATATATGTCGACCTCCATCCCCAACGGACAGGCAGACCTGCAAAAATGCTCAACCCTTCATCATATCTGAGAGGGCACTCCCAACAAAGCCTTTCGAAATATTCAGCTTTCTTTCCCCCTGATAATACCTCTGCAAACAAGCTATACTAGAGCAAGAATATCTCATATCATCAGGGTTAAAAGCAAGAGTATCCCATATCATGCTTTTTCCCTGTTTTTTCTTTTGACCTTGTTTTTACCTGCAAGACAAGGAGAAAGAGAGCAATCAGTCAGCACTTGGAATCAAGCTTCCAGCCAGGAACTGACTGCCTGGAACCCCTTACCTGATTACTTACCTGGCATTGCTCTCGAGTACTCATCTTCAACATCTTATGTTTCCAGGGAAGATTCCGCATCTGCTTGAGGAACAGATAGGGCAAGTGCGAAGGATACAAGGAAGCATGTGGAGACAAGCGTAACAGCACACGTGCCGATACATCCATTACTCTGTCAAAAGCAAAAGTATCCCATATCAGCAGGGTGGAACGTACTCTAGATTTGATGGACTTGTTTTGACCCTCAAATTCTTCAGTCGGCCTTATACTCTGGAGGAAACCAGAAAACCCTCCAGCTCAGTTCAAGAATAAGCCTGTGGAAAGTTACTTCTTCAAAAGCAAAAGTATCTCATATCATCTCTTCTCATTTTTCTTCTCTTTATCTTTCATGCTGCTGCAGGATGGGGAGAAGGTGAACAATCAGTCGGAGCTCTGATTGCTTACCTTGTCTGTCACCTCTTTCAGCAGACCCCCTAGCTCGGTGACTTGGGGGACTCCTACTACATGGTTTGTGTCGCGCTTGACCAAGCCTGAAACTACAAGTAAGCTTCAAGTGAAATTGATACATTACCTTGTGCATCTCCACCAGTTAAAGATACCACCCCTGGATGGAGGAAGAGTACTTCCAGAGAAGATGCCACATCTACCTATGAGACAGATAAGGCAAGTCAAGACGACACCACACTCCGATACTTAGAAGTTTCGTGATTACGAGATCATTCTCCCACAATATTTCCTAATGTCATTTGTACTAAATCATTCACTCGTACTCACTAAAGGAGAGCTTGAACCTATGTACTTGTGTAAACCCTTCACAATTAATGAGAACTCTTCTATTCCGTGGACGTAGCCAATCTGGGTGAACCACGTACATCTTGTGTTTGCTTTCCTATCTCTATCCATTTATATACTTATCCACACTAATGACCGGAGCAATCTAGCGAAGATCACAAAAAGCGACCGTTTTCGTTACCTATGATCTATCTTGCAAGAGAACGGAGAATTAGATGGAGATCTCAACCATAGAATACGAGCTGGATGGAAAGAGTGCATCCGGCGTGTTGTGTGACCGTCGTAGGCCACTGAAGCTCAAGGGAAAATTTTATAGGACGGCAATAAGGCCAGCGATGTTGTATGGCAGAGAATGTTGGGTGGTGAAGCATCAACACGTACACAAAATGGGTGTAGCGGAGATGAGGATGCTTCGTGGGATGTGTGGGCACACGAGAAAGGATAAGATTGGGAATGAGGATATCCGAGGTACAGTAGGAGTAGCCGAAATTGTAGGAAAGATGAGAGAAAATCGGCTCTGGTGATTTGGACATGTGCAAAGAAGGCCGACTGACGCTCCGGTTCGAAGATGTGACTACGGGACAGAGGTTCAGGGCCGAAGGGGTAGAGGAAGACCTAGGAAAACTTTGGAAGAGACTCTAAGAAAAGACTTAGAGTACTTGGATCTAACGGAGGACATGACACAAAACCGAGCGCAATGGCGTTCTAGGATTCATATAGCCGACCCCACTTAGTGGGAAAAGGCTTTGTTGTTGTTGTTGGTAGTCCAATATCGACTTATCCCAATGATAATTTTTAATCTAAAATATAAATATATTCCTAATTAATTTTAAATAGTAATAAATAATTGGTTCAATTGAATATTCCAGCATCCTAATTTAAGATTGGAAAAAATTCTCGAAAATTCCAAACCAAACCACAAAAATCTCGATCCTAAACTAAAAAAGTTCCAAACCAAAATTCCAGAAATTTTCGGGTTGAAATTCCGAACCAATCTCAATATTTCGGTACGGGATTCGGTATTGTGTACTCAATCTTTCGGTAATCCCATACCGAATTGAAAATAAATAATATATATTATTATGTATTTATATATATTATTATACATTTGAATTGTTGCTAACTACTAGTAGCAATATAATTGGTGTGGTCTAAGGTAGTAACCATAGTCCTTTATCGCCACATTTGTGGAACCTCCCACAAATGTGTCTATTTCTTCAATACGAAATAAAAAAAATTGTATTGCTAGTTTTCGAACATATTAGGTTTGTAAATTTATTTTTTTATTTTTTTTTAGTTTTGGGTTTGTTACTTATAAAAAATTGGTACATTTATACAAAAATGTGGGTACATTTTACATACCAAATTGATACATATAATACAAAAAAAGGAGAACATTTTATATAACAAAAAATGGGTACATTTTACATAAAAAATGGTACTTAAAAAAAAAGGATACATTTTTCATATAAGAAAGTGGTACATTTATAAAGAATAATGGGTACATTATAAATAAATTATGGATAGAAATAAAATGACACACCCCGTCCCGAAGGAGGGCATGCTGGCCGTCACGTGAGAGTGACGTAACCATTTACATAGTTCGGAAGCTTTAAAGAATACAATTACTAAGATATATCACCCGAGGGTGAATCCCCCTTTTGTGAATTCTGTTAGAACACCGTTGGATTCTTCGTGGCCACCAAAGCTCTGCTATCTAGAACCTGGAGGGGCGCAAAACAAAATTGAGTGGGTCAATAAACAAAGCTTTTCGAAAATATTTCATTTAAAACATTTCTAACCCCTCGCCGTAAAACCTGTATACTTTCCCAGAAAATAGTATATAAACATATATATACACATATCAACAAAACTCAGCTCACCCTCTATCAACATAACATCTCAGGAAGAATATACCATGCCATGCCAAAATATACTAAGAATGCATCAATATCAATCAGGTGAAATAATAAATCTACCGGAGACCCTACAATGGTCCTGTACGGTTGATTCTATAGCTCAACATCCCACTCAGCCGGAGTCACCACAGTGACCTATACGGCCCAACTCTGCACGTCACTCGGAACTACATATGGTAGTCTGTACGATGAAAGGTGTATAAATACGCTCTAGTGCTTCTCTCATCAATCATCAACGCGCATAACTAAGGTCACCCACTAGTCGGAATCACATCTAGTGATCTATACGACTAGCATGTCGGAACCCTCACATGGTCTGTACGACATCCACCTACTTGGATCCAAGACGAGCGTGCAGTGTGGTGAATAATAATATAAGCACTAACACCTGGGTGCAGGTTATGAGCTTTCAATGCAATTCATATAAAATAATTCATCTGAATAATAATAAAACTCACCTGTGCGTCCACCACGTCAATTGACATATATATGCATCAATTATCAAACTAAATATCTCAACAATTGCATGCATGACAATTTGACAATTTAAATCATATTTTCAAATAAACGCATTTTCTGGGAAAAACAGTAGTATATAGGTAATACGAAAACAAAATTGCCCACTCACTTGGAGTTTGCCCTACAACTCCCTAGCATAATACGTCAAGGCGTCATGACGATCGGCGCCTAAAACAATAATCAAATCCAACCTCAGAATTCATATCGATAGAATATAAAACTTATATAAAACACGTCACTATGCAGTTCGATCATGAAGATCTGCAACTCAGATATCAAATCCATAACTTCCAGAGGTCTACAATATATCCCTAGAACAACATCCTAAAATTTCCTTACTAACCAACGGTCGGATCTCCGTCAATTATCAAAACCAAGTGACGGTTAACATTCTATATTATGGACTTACAACTCCAATTCCGGAAGATCCGTAAATCGGATTCCCAATCCGTAAGTTCCTATAATCCTCAAATATTACGTATTACGACGTATCAAAGTTTGGTGACGATCCAACGGTCGGATCGTCAATTCACATTTTCACCTATATGCGAAATAATTATAAAACGTTATTTTAAGCACCTAACCAACAATTCTTAATAACTTCTCATACGGTGCTCAAATTGGGTATATGAATACACCACTGTAATCTACACAACCTCAGGATCATCCCCAAAATTTTAAAATAATTTTTGGGTTCCCCACGCGTCGTCACACGCACGGCCAGACGCGCCCCCACGCGCGGCCATGTGCTCTGCACATTGACAGTGTCAATTGACGCCGTCAGGTATATTTCGGGAATATTCCATCTAATCCTAACAGAAACAGTCAATTTTAACTAACGGCGTCAAAATTGACGGAATATTCATCGTCTTCAACCTCCAGCTCTGGTGACCGTCGCTGGAGCCGGAAACTGGGCATTTTTTTTTAAAACTCTTAATCTCGCTCATTTTTCAACCAAAATCTACGTAATTGGTACCAATTTGAAGCTTATGACATGCAGAATCACGATATACCTGTCTCGAGCTTTGAAATTTACGAAAATACTTCGGGGAGGTTGAAACTCCGACGACCTCTGCAAAATTTCGAAACTGGGCTTCCCGTGGACCAATTTTTACCAACGATGCACTCCGAGCATCGTGAGGACCTTCTTGAGCTCGATATGGTCCTAAAACATAAAAACTCAAGGGTTTAAGAGTATGTGAATAGTGACTAAATCGGGAATTGGAAAAACTAGGGTTCCTTACGTCCAATTCCTGCGATTCTTCATCTCCGAGCTTCGTAGGAGTGTCTTAAAGCTTTCTACAAGCTTGTAGCTTCCTGAAATGTTCATAATCACGTCCACATGAACAGTACAAAAAAATTGGGGTTCAGATTTCACAAGCTTTCGAAGGGTTCCTTACCTGAAAATGGTACTACTCGACTCGCAAGGACACAAGGAACACGATGGTGCCTTCAAAACTTTCGATCTGACACGTTCCAAAGGGTTTTGGTGTCTATCCGTACAATGAGAGAGAAGGGGGAGAGTGAGTTAGAGAGAGAGAAGCACGGGAGAGAAGAGAGAGAAAGGGAGATGTGTGGTCAAGGATTGGTCCACATCCATAATTTTAACCACACAAATACCACAATGAAATTCAACATCCAAGTGCAAAAATCGTCCTTTCACACCGTCCATAATTTATTTCCGGGACAGGCTGTCACATAAAAGGTTAAAAATATTGTGACTACAAATAAAAGTTAAAAAAATAAGGGACAAAAAGAAATTAATATATGGGTACAAATTAAAATTTAAAATAAAATTGGTACAATTTAAAAAAAAAAAAAGGTCGCAAACTAAAAATGGTAGGTTTTGGAAACTCTCTTAAACTCATTTCAAGTCATAAGTAGTAGGTTTTGGAAAATAGACCACCTCTTTTGTCTGCTTGTCCAATTAGTCTTTACGGGGGCTTTAATGAAAAAAATTTAGGCTAGGTTTATTTTAGAGAGCTTTATATATAGAGACAATAAAAATCAACTTTATTTAATGAGAAATGCTTAAACTTTAACGAAAGGGATTTTTTTTCTTTTTAAGGGACTTAAATTTTAATGAAGATTTCTTAAACTGAACACTGATATTTCTTAAACTGACTTTTTCTGAAACTGAGAGTATTACACTATTTCTTAAATTGAATACGGATGCTACACTATTTCTCAAACTGAACTATAACTATTTCTTAAAACTGAACATTGGTACGATCATTATTTCTTAAACTGAACACTCTATAACTATTTCTTGCACTGAATACTGATTATTTCTTAAACTGAACATGGGTACTACACTTTCTTAAACTAACTACTTTTTAAACTAAACACTGGCTATTTCTTAAGGATAATGCTAGAGAGATTAAATTTGCAAACCAAATGACGTGTCACCAATAAAAAATTAAACATATTAATTGATATTTAATTAATAATCCAATCATTTGTAACTTACATAATTTGGTTTGTGAATTTAGTTTAAAAAATTTAATCTTTCTAATATTATTTATTCTTAAATTGAACATTGGTACTACATTATCAGTTGAATATTTTAGCATCCTAATTAAGACCGTCTGATTCTTGATGACTGAATTTGTAACTTTATGGAATATGGATGACGTTTTGCAGTTGGAATTCAACGAAACGTAAATTATGGAGTCAAAAAACAAAGAGGAAACTTTCTCTTAAACTCATTACAAGTCAACAGTGGTCGGTTTTGGAAAATAGACCACCCCTTTTGTCTGCTTGTCCAATTAGTCTTTACACGAGCTTTAATGAAAAAGATTTTGGGCTAGGTTTATTTTAAAGGAAAACTAATGAAAAGGGCTTGAAAACTTTGAGTTTTAATGATAAGGACAAAATAAAGGGTAAAGTAAATAGTACCAGAATTGACTTTTCAGTGTAAAAATGTGGTTTTTCGTTAAAGTGAACAGTACCGGATGCTTTTCGTTAAAGTTCCCTTATTTTAAGGGACTTTATATATAGAGACAATAAAAATCAACTTTATTTAATGAGAAAGACTTAAACTTTAACGAAAGGGACTTTTTTTTTTTTTTAAGGGACTTAAGTTTTAATGAATCTTTCTTAAACTGAAAATTTATTAAACTGAACACTGATATTTCCTAAACTGAACACTAATTAAGAAAAAGTTTTTATTCTTTTTCACTTTTGTGGTAGGATACATGCACTTTGGATTGACGAAGACTCATTATATATAGTAAACCCACGAATCTATTAATATGAATTTTGGTAGGTCTTAGTCTTAATTGAGATTATTGCTGTTGTGAAATTATATGTTCTCAAATTGAAGTTCATCCTGACTACGATTATGATGACAAATGGGGTGTGCACAACACAACAAGTTTTCTTGTTCTCTCCTGGAAAATGAAATGCGAATTAAGAACCTGTTTTGTGATAAATAAGAGTATTAGTAGACTGATAGCTTGCAAGTAATTTTGTATCGGAAAAGGATCCGATCCTAAGGATTCTAGAGATTTCATGATTAAAACTATCTATCATATATCTTAAGGTTTATCGGATATCTTACGATCAACCATTTCCTTTTCTACATTTTCTTGCTTTATCGTGTTCTTTGGTTTGGTTCATTTTTCCAAGTGTAGGTTGACATTGACTTTGTGGAGTAACGACTTTGTCTCCTTACCAAGTCCTTCCTTTTAAAAGCTAAATGTCAACATCGTCTTATCGTCATGACTTATGAGACAGACTTGGAAGTCTTGCAATACTACATTTTCCAAGTCAATGAAGACTAACAACAATTGATTGGATAAAAAATGATAAACAAACCAAAACGTAAAATACAATTTTGATCGTAAATTGAAATAATTTGGTCATAATTTTGATTTATTTCTTCTTTCTTATGACAATTTTTTTTGTCCGTTAATATGTTACAACGAAGAACATGAGGAGGATACGAATCGAAAAGTTGAAGAACTTTGCAAAAATTTATAAAAAGTTGGGTCTTCATTGCTAAATGATTTCTTAGAATAAAGTGATACTTTGAACTTTCTTCCCGGTATTATTGTAGGAAAGATCACATCGAGAAGACTTTCGGGCAACTAAATTGACAGAAATTAAATAGCAAACTGACCCACACTAGCAAGAGGATCTGCGAGGAAATTAGCTTCCACCGCTAGAGAACTATCCCAATGCTAATGGTTGACCTGGTACACACTAGTCCTACGTAGAAATATCTTCACACGCTATTTCCACTTCATATACCAATCACATCCCCTTTCGTTCTTGTTCTTCATCGTCTTTCTCCAAATCCCACTGATTTAGTCCATGACCAAAGAATCCATGGCTGTCTTTCTCATGTTCTTCTTTCTTTTCTTCGCCACCTCTTCTGCAGCCTCTTCTAAATTCGATCTCCAAACAGCTTACCCTGACCACTGTGCTTCATTTGTTCCCCAGTCTACCCCGAAAGGAGACGCGCAAGGACCGCCCGACCAACACCGCCACACAGGTTACTACACCCGTGGCGGTGGCAGTGACGTTCTTAGTCTTAGCTCATTGTATTATCCTAACGAAAACTCTGTTCAATTCGTTATCAAGAGCATTAGAGAAACTGATGTTCAAGGCCTGATCAAGCTTCAAGGGAGTTTGATATTTCCGAGAGATGCGTTTTACTTTGTGGGAAGTACTTCCACCACAAGTAAGATGTCCTCATCTCGATCAGTTCTTCGTCCAAGAAGATCAATAAGTGTTACACTTGGTGGGTTCTGGTCACAATCTTCCGGGAAGCTTTGTATGGTTGGTTCGGGTTATGATTACTTGGAAGGACGCAGTTATTTGCATCACATTCATTCTGTTCTTAAGCTCTACAATTTCGCGAACTCCACTAAAGCCACTAGTTTGATTAGCGGAACCTTAGAGAGCATGAACACTTCCGAGAATGATGCAGATTATTTCGAACCAATCTCTATTTTGATGCTTCCTAGCATGAACTACCAGTACACTCTGATTTCAAATAAATCTGAGACCATCAGTACTTCCGGTGGAACTGATAGTTCCAATCCCACAAGTTCCTTGAATAGAAAGAGATTTTGTTCTGTACTCTCAAACGAAGTGCCATACCATGCATTTGATCTCAAATACTCAAGCCGTTGCGTATCTGCGAACAACTGCACTCCAGTTGCTGCGTCTAGTTTGCCTCGGTTTATGTTCTTGAAGCTTACTGAATGTTTGGAGGATACACGAAGGTTGAGAGTCCTGGTGGAATTTGAAGACAGCAGCAACTTCTGGTATCGAACGTTCGATCCCAATACAACACTGGTTGGGGAAGGCTCATGGGATGCAGAGAAAAATCAGCTATCTTTTGTTGCATGTCAATTCTTGGTTGCAGCAGGCTCTTGGAACAATACTAGCGTCGGTGATTGTTCAATAAGATTGAGCTTGCGATTTTCAGCTGTTTGGACAATCGACAATCGGAAACAGTAGTAGCATGGTGGGGAAGATTTGGAGCAACAAAACTGTGACAGAGTCGGGTTACTTTGAAAAGATCACGTTCGAAAGTCTTGAGGATGACATGGGAAGGACTCTGATTCCAGGCGCGAAGTATGAGTACACGAAAATCAACACCGTAAACAAGTTGTGCCCGAAAAAGGAGACTGCTCGTGGCAAGACTAATGTGTACGCGGATCCGTTTTCTTATGAAATGAGATTTGATGTGTCAGCTAAGAATTCTGAAGGACAAGTTGCATGGGGCAGTTCTGTCCCGATTTCTGTTGGGGATCAATTTTATCAGGCGTATCAGTATTCGATTGCAAGCGCTGAAGATGAAGATGAATCTACAGCTCCTGAGAGATACAGCTTCAACCACAGCAAAGCGTACAATATTAGCTACAAAATAAGCATCAACCGGCTATCTGATGCAAAGTTTGGAAATCAATCAGTTTTAAACGAAATGCAAATCTTTGCCGAAGGGATCTATGATGAAACCGAAGGCAGCCTGTGCATGGTAGGCTGCAGAAAACTGGCCTCAAAGGGTCAGCAGCCAACAAATGACTCTGTAGATTGCGAGATTGCTGTCAACTTTCAGTTCCCTACAACAAACCCAACCAAGAGTTCGGGTCTCATCAAGGGCAGCGTAAAAAGCACACGAAAAAAGTCCGACCCTCTTCATTTTGAAACTTGGGATTTAACCTCAGCTTCCTTTACCCTCGGCGAAGAAAGGCTGTCCATTTGGAGGATGGATGTGGAGATCATATTGGTTCTTATATCCACCACGCTGGCGTGCTTCTTTGTGGCGCGACAACTCTTCCATGTGAAAAAGTATCCAGATGTTATTCCCTCCATTTCCATTTTCATGCTACTAATTCTAACTCTTGGCTACATGATACCCCTTATGCTAAACTTTGAAGCCATGTTCACAAATAGCACCAACCGCCAAAATGTGCTCCTTGGAACCGGAGGATGGCTTAAAGTTAATGAGGTAATTGTGAGGGTGATAACAATGGTAGCGCTCTTGCTGCAAATCCGTCTTCTGCAGCTAACTTGGTCAGCAAGATCAAAAAATGGAAATCGCAATGAGCTCTGGCTCATGGAGAAGAAGACTCTCTTTGTTGCCTTACTACTATATGTTGCAGGGGCTTTCGCCATTTTGCTTCTGCATAAACAGATTTGGAAGAAGAGCAACTACGCCGAGCACTCAATTTTCAGCATTGCCTTCAAATCTTACTCCGGTTTGGTTATGGACGGTTTTTTGATGCCTCAAATTGTGCTCAATATGTTCTGCAAGTCAAAAGAAAATGCTCTATCCATTTGGTTCTACGTAGGAACAACTTTTGTTCGAGCGCTGCCACATGCATACGATCTTTACAGAGCTCACAACTTTGCTCATCCCCAATTCAACGAGTTGTACCAATATGCAAGCCCTGCAGCAGATTTTTACTCCACTTCTTGGGATGTCATAATTCCTTTTGGGGGTTTAGTGTTTGCTGGTATCATTTTCTTGCAGCAGAAGTTTGGGGGTCGTTGCTTTCTCCCCAAAAAGTTGATAGAGTTGGGTGAATATGAGAAGGTCCCTACTATTACCGAAGGGTAATTTAATCTTCTCTTGTCTGTACTTTATGTATCATGTTTTAGCGTTTTTTTCCCTTTTTTTCTTTTATCTTTCTTTCTGTTTGTAATATGTTGAACTTGTAAGCTATAATGTGTGCATTTTCATTTTTCTATAAGATAAGAAAACAATATTTGCTTCGTCACAGGACTGGAAACGGTGTGTGACAGTGTTAATGCAAACATGTCTCGAGTATACAATGAAACCTAGGTTTTCGATCATGTTTGCGCACACATTCTAGAGATTTTCGATAAGAAAACAAAAACAAAACTAGCGAGAAAAACGTGAAAGACATGGAGAAAGAGAGAAGCGCAAGTTTAGAGGTGCTTAGAATAAATTTTGGATGTGAGATATCTGCAGAATAGTTGCAGGCAGAACCAGCAGCATTCCACAGAGTTCTTTGCATCCTTTCTAAATAGTGTTCATTTTTTGTCACTTTATTTTTCTTTTACAAAGCGGTATTCTAATATACTCTAGTTAACGGGGAAGAGATTCAAACCAACTGATCTAAAACCTACATATGCAGGTTTGATGCTGTTAGAGCAGTTATGTTTTTATTTAAATATTTTAAATATATTTATGATTTGTTTTATTACAAACATTGAACATAAAACGTAAATTGTTATTAACCTTATAAATTGTCATTAACTTTATTATCTGATCAGGATCATTAATTCACTAGAAACGTGAGAAGGCTTCTCACCTTAAAGATGAGATTCTTTCTCTGAATAGAAAAAAGATCAAATCTATTGTTACATAATTTTTTATTCCGTTGTGATTTGGACATTTTGATTTAGTTTTCTTCTGCATTGATTACTTGTAGCTTGCTTTCCCTTAAATCATTTTCATCCCCCAATGTCTCTTTTATTATATATATATATATATATATATATATATATATATATATATATATATATATATATATCATTTACATCCCCCAACGTCTCTTTTATTATATATATATATATATATATATATATATATATATATATCATTACATCCCCCAATGTCTCTTTTATTATATATATATATATATATATATATATATCATTTACATCCTCCAACGTCTCTTTTATCATAGATACATACATATATATAAGTCCAGAGAATCTAAAAAAAAGGATAATAAGAAAAAAGACAAGTTTTACAAATATTGAGTTAATAGCAACATATCGAAAGGGTGTGAGTTAGAAGGTTTTTCTGTTGTGCAAGGAAGAACCTTATCAGAAGAAGGTTCTGGCCTGTTTCATCATGGGGACGATGTAGTGTTTGTGAATTGCTTGCACACTTTGGGTAGAGCCGCGCAACGTCTTAAAGAGAGCAACTTAGTCCGTGACTCATCCCAAGAATCATTCACCACTTAAGACTTCTACATTTTTTGGGTAACTTCGTTTCTTTCTGTTTTAGATTCAACAATTTTAAGACGTATTCAATCTGCCATGCATTATAAGGCAAATCTTGTTGAAAAGCAATTGATTGCAATGCTATCAGAAATCAACGTAGTTGATGGATCCGAGGGGTGGTGAGTGGACACTGGCGCTTCTCGCCATGTTTGTTATGATCGTTCCCTTTTTCAATACCTATTTTGTGGCTGAGGGAAGGAAGGTGTTGTTGGGTGATTCACACTCAACTGATGTTGCTGGTACTGGATAGATGGAGCTGAGGTTCACCTCTGGAAAAATCATGATACTAAAAGAAGTGATGCACGCTTCAGCGATAAGGAAGAATCTGGTCTAAGGCTTTCTTCTTAACAAGGCTGGATTCACTCAAAGCATTGGAGCAGATACGTATTCTCTCACTAAAAATGGGGTTTTTGTGGGAAAGGGACATGCTACTGATGGGATGTTTAAATTGAATGTTGATGAAATGTCTACTTCTACTTACATGTTGTCTTCTTTTAATACTTGGCATGCTAGACTTTGTCATGTTAACAAACGCTTGGTTAAGAACATGAGTAACTTAGGTTTTTTACCTAACTTATCATCGAATGATTTTGAAAAATATGAATATTGTAGTCAAGCTAAAATCACTAGAACTTCACATAAATCTGTCAATAGAGAATCTAAACCACTTGATTTAATTCGTTCTGATATATGCGAATTTGATAAAGTGCTAACTAGAAATGGAAAACGTTATTTTATTACCTTATTTGATGATTGTTCGAATTACTGTTTTGTCTATCTTATGAAAAATAAAAGTGAAGCTATTGACATGTTCAAAACTTTCTTGACTGAAGTTGAAAATCAATTTAATCGTAAGATTAAAAGATTTCGTAATGATAGAGGACAAGAATATGAATCTACTGAATTTGTTAATTTGTTTAAGTCTCATGAAATTATTCATGAAACTACTACTCCTTATTCTCCTAAAATGAATGGTAAAGCGGAAAGAAAAAATTAAACTCTTTGTGAATTGACTGTTGCTACTTTGCTTAGTTCTGGAGCTGATTTTTATTGGTGGGGTGAAATTGTGTTGACTGTATGTTATGTGTTAAATAGAATCCCTAACTAAAAAACAAATATTTCTCCTTATGAAATTTGGAAAAATAAGAAACCAAATGTGTTGCATTTCAAAACTTGGGGTTGTTTAGCTTATGTTCGTAAACCTGATCCAAAAAGATCGAAATTGGCTAGTAGAGCATATGAATGTGTTTTTATTGGTTATGCATGTAATAGCAAATCATATAGATTTTATGATTTGAAAAACCATGTCATAATTAAGTCACTTGATGCTGATTTTTATGATAATAAATTTCCTTTTAATCTTCGAAATAGTGGGGGTTCTAATTCTTCTAAAACTTATGAACCTACTATTGTAGAACATAGTCAATCTACATTAGAACCTAGGAAAAGTAAAAGAGCTCGAATAGCTAAAGATTTTGGGCCTGATTTTCACGTATATAACTTATAAGAAGATCCTAATACAATTCAAGAAGCTTTAACTTCTTTAGATGCAAATTTGTTGCAAGAAGCTATAAATGATGAAATGGACCCCTTGAGTCAAATCAAACTTGGCATTTGGTGGATCTTCCACTTGGTTGCAAAACAATAGGTTGCAAATGGATTCTTAAAAGAAAATTAAAACCTGACGGTTCAGTTGAAAAATTCAAAGCCCGACTTGTTGCCAAAGGCTATAGACAAGGGGAAAATATTGATTTCTTTGATACTTATTCACCTGTGACTAGAATGACTTCTATTCGTGTATTGTTTGCTTTAGCTTCTATTCATGATCTTGTTGTGCACCAAATGGATGTTAAAACAGCTTTCTTAAATGGTGAATTAGAGGAAGAAATATATATGGATCAACCATAGGGTTTTATTATTCCACGACAAGAAAATAAAGTTTACAAGTTAGATAAGTCACTTTATGGATTGAAACAGGCTCCTAAACAATGGCATGCGAGATTTGATAGTTTGGTTACTTCGAATGGTTTTAAAATAAATGAAAGTGATAAATGCATCTATTATAAGTCTGAAAATAATATATGCACTATAATATGCCTATATGTGGATGGTCTGCTTATTTTTGGTTCGAATATTTATGTTGTAAATAATGTCAAAACTTTGTTATGTGCTAATTTTGATATGAAAGACTTGGGTGAAGCTAGTGTAATACTTGGTTTGAAAATAACTAGGTCCGAACATGGTTCTCTTTAGATCAATCTCACTACATAGAAATTTTTTTTAAGAAAGCATAATTATTTTGATTATAAACCAGTATGTACTCCTTATGATCCTAGTGTAAAATTGTTCAAGAACACTGGTGACAGTGTTACACAATCTGAGTGTGCGAGCATTATTGGTAGTCTTCGTTATGCTACTAATTGCACTAGGCCTGATATATCTTATGCCGTAGGCGTTTTATGTAGGTTTACTAGCAGGCCCAATTTGGAGCATTGGCATGCTATAGAGAAGCTTATGAGATACCTTAAAAGGACGATGAATTTAAGATTACACTATGAGAAGTTTCCCGCTGTCCTAGAAGGTTATCTTAACTACAAGGAAGTGCTTCATAGAAATCAAGAAATATGCAGACTAAGAAAGCTTAAAGAAGAAGGAAATCGAAGAATTTCTCAATATATTTTTGTAACTGTTTTTGTTATACACCGACATTCCCAAATACAAGAGGAAAGTAACTATTTATACTACTCTATATGTGCACATGTTCTGCACATGTACAATGACCTGGCATATTATTTACTTATCCAATACCCCCCCTCAATCTTAGCTTGGATAACCAAGCTTAAGATTGAAACAGTGACGAAGAAAATCTGGACCATGAAGACCTTTGGTGAGCACATCGGAAATCTGAGCTTTAGTACACACATATTCAACAGATAAGTCACCTTTTTGAACTCGTTCACGGACAAAGTGAAAATCCGTTTCCAAGTGCTTGATTCGAGAGTGTTGAACTGGATTTAAACTCAAAGAAATTGCAGATTGATTATCGCAATACACCACTGGAGGAGTGGATAAAACCTCATGTAAATCCTTGAGAATGAGACGGATCCAGGCAATATCAGCTGTGGTATGTGCTAAGGCACGATATTCAGCCTCAGTCGAACTCCGAGACACAGAGGACTGCTTTTTTTATTGCCAAGAAACAGGATTAGAGCCAAGATACACAACATAACCAGTGATAGATCTCCGAGTGTTCAAATCTGCAGCCCAATCCGAATCACTATATGCAGTTACAGACACAGAACTCCCAGAAGTATAAGTCAAGCCACACTGAATAGTCCTTTGCAAATATCGAAGTATTCTTTTGACCATAGCAAAGTGTACATCAGTAGGAGCATTCATATATTGACATACAGTATTCACAGCAAAGGTAATGTCTAGACGTCTAAATGTAAGGTACTGTAGAGCCCCAACCAAACTTCGATATAGAGTAGGATCAGTGAGTAAGGTACCTTCAGTAGAAAGAACCTGATTATGAGGCTTACAGGGTGTGGAGCACGGCTTACAATCATCCATGCCAGCCTT